ATTTTTTTTCTGCGAGATAAACGGGTGTGGTGGGGGTGTGTGTTAAATGAGTCGGTTTCAAGCTGTAGTTTGCATCATTCTTTTCTGTAAGATTAACCGGTGCGAGAAGTTGTGTGTGTGTGTTGATGAGTCTGTCAGTTTGAATGTTGTTTTTAGATAAGCGGGTGTTTTTTAACCGCTGTCAATCAACGAACGAAGTGTTTTTTTTTATGTACAAAGAAACGTCAACTTTTGTGCGATTTGTGCAAAACATTTGTCATGCGTTTTTGGAGCGCTTACCTTCAGATTACAACCTCTTGCATGTATGTGTGTCACGTCATTACGATCGATAAGCACCCACACCTACCTGTCCAACCAAAGGGGTACAGTCAGCATCTGTGCGCCTCTTGCCATCAGGCCGCTTTCGCGCCCCTTTTNCAAAAGAACAAAAAACGGCATCTGACTCGGGGGCATTTTTAAGACTGTTTCTAATCACATACTTCCTCTGTATCATAAGTTAGGGTACCTAAATTTGTACGGGCCCTTAACCGTGTCCGATCTGTTTTTCGATTTTTTTGTTGAAATCTTCGGAGTTTTTTTAGCAAGAAACATTTATTTTATTTTATATGCATGCGCCACCCCGCGTGCATGAGCGCCCGAGAAAAACCAGTCGGCCTGAAAAAGGCCGCATTTTGCATGTATTCTGCCCCCTCCGACCAGGCGGGGGGGGCGGGGCAATGACAAAAACAAGGCAAAAATACCAAGAATTATCCCTGACCCTAAACCTAGCCCCCCCTCTACTCAACGATCCATGACGCGTCCCCTATACTAAAAACAGCATAAAAGTGGACCCCACACTGAAAACAAGACACTTGGGGGACCACACTAAAACCAAGACACTTACGGGGCAAAGCAAGCAACAGTAGGGCCCTCATCCAACCCCCCCCTCTACTCAACGATCCATGTCGCGCCCCCTATACTAAAATCAGTATAGTAGTGAACCACACTAAAACCAAGACACTTGGGGGNGTGTAAAACCGCTGTAAAGGGCATGAGGGCTGTTTATGCGGTATATCCTGTGAGCTCGGGTCCTTCGGTCCGTGAGTTCATAACCCTTTGATGTCCGCTCAACAATGAAAGGTCGGAACGCCCTGAAGCAAACATACCTACAATGTACTCCATCTGGAACCTTTCCACCTAGCCACCTGGAGAATGTAAGCAAATTTTACTCCAAATGTATCACACGCGAAGCGACATGTTCGCTGTGCGTGGCGCGTTTGTTTTTCCAGCGCGCAAAGATCGAAGTCTCTTGCGGTACTTGAAGCATGGTCAGCGGGGATGCCCAACCAACCTATGGCATATCTGGTCTGGCACAGCAAACGCAAGGATAATGACCGGCTTCTCATCCATCCTTGTGAAACGTAGCCTGCGCCGGTGAAAACCCGACGTATCGCTCTGTCCTCGCATTGCAGGGATGGGAGATCTATGGTCGAACGACGAGTACACCCCCCCCCGCCCGTCGTTGCTTGCCCAGGAGATGAAGTGTTTTTTCATTAAGACCCCCCCGAGTTTTTTTTTAAAATTTTCCCTGAATTTTACTACTGCGTAAGCGTCACAGCGCGCCAAACCCGACAGGTCCAGAGCATTCGCCGTGTATATCTTTGATGAGACAGGCCATTCGCGCTTTGGCACAACGAGTGGACCGTAACCTTCTCCACCCCTAAATCAATTTCCCCTTAAAAAAAAAAATTGCCTCCGGGTGGGAAAGTCTCACAATATCAAGAATACATTCTCCACTCGTTACTTTTACTCGGGGGGGCGCAGTCTCAAACAACGACGACATCCCCTCTCTGGGGGGCTGACGAAGGAGATTACGGTACTGGCTTGACAGCCAGCGCTGCTCTGGTCAGTCTGTCGTGCCGACGTGTCGCGTACGTTGTTTTCATTGTTGTTCTTCAATCGTGGTCGTGTGTTGTTGTCGTGGTTGTCTACCGTGCGCCGTGTACCTCGTGATGTCGATGCAGCAGTGTAGCGATTTGTGAGCGGCAAACGCCCGTTCAAGGCACTGTTCTGTGCGCCGGTTGGTGAGAGTTACCTTCGGCCGCGGACTGTGGTTCTTCTCGATGTGACCCAACACTCCTTTTTCTGCCCCCCCCCCCTGCGCTTGTTTGCCCGATGAAGCCAATAAGAACGTGACAGATTTCGGCGCCGCACTGACCGGAGCAGCGCTTACCGAGAATACCTTGACGCTCGCAAACGGCACGTTCTTCCTCGGCAAGTCTGCATGTAGATCCAAGATCTTCGTTCGTCATTGTTACAATGAGACGTTTCAGCTGATCCGGAAGAGTGCTGCTCAGCGTAACGACGGTACGACGCCGAAAATTGTCATCGTAGGCACGCCCGGAATAGGGAAATCTGTATTCGGCTTTTTTCTTCTGTATCAGTTGCGGCTTGAAGGTCGAACTGTCGTGTTCGAAAGAGAAGGCTCTTGGTACCGTCTCTCTTTCGAACACGACAGTTCGACCTTCAAGCCGCAACTGATACAGAAGAAAAAAGCCGAATACAGATTTCCCTATTCCGGACGTGCCTACGATGACAATTTTCGGCGTCGTACCGTCGTTACGCTGAGCAGCACTCTTCCGGATCAGCTGAAACGTCTCATTGTAACAATGACGAACGAAGATCTTGGATCTACATGCAGACTTGCCGAGGAAGAACGTGCCGTTTGCGAGCGTCAAGGTATTCTCGGTAAGCGCTGCTCCGGTCAGTGCGGCGCCGAAATCTGTCACGTTCTTATTGGCTTCATCGGGCAAACAAGCGCAGGGGGGGGGGGCAGAAAAAGGAGTGTTGGGTCACATCGAGAAGAACCACAGTCCGCGGCCGAAGGTAACTCTCACCAACCGGCGCACAGAACAGTGCCTTGAACGGGCGTTTGCCGCTCACAAATCGCTACACTGCTGCATCGACATCACGAGGTACACGGCGCACGGTAGACAACCACGACAACAACACACGACCACGATTGAAGAACAACAATGAAAACAACGTACGCGACACGTCGGCACGACAGACTGACCAGAGCAGCGCTGGCTGTCAAGCCAGTACCGTAATCTCCTTCGTCAGCCCCCCAGAGAGGGGATGTCGTCGTTGTTTGAGACTGCGCCCCCCCGAGTAAAAGTAACGAGTGGAGAATGTATTCTTGATATTGTGAGACTTTCCCACCCGGAGGCAATTTTTTTTTTTAAGGGGAAATTGATTTAGGGGTGGAGAAGGTTACGGTCCACTCGTTGTGCCAAAGCGCGAATGGCCTGTCTCATCAAAGATATACACGGCGAATGCTCTGGACCTGTCGGGTTTGGCGCGCTGTGACGCTTACGCAGTAGTAAAATTCAGGGAAAATTTTAAAAAAAAACTCGGGGGGGTCTTAATGAAAAAACACTTCATCTCCTGGGCAAGCAACGACGGGCGGGGGGGGGTGTACTCGTCGTTCGACCATAGATCTCCCATCCCTGCAATGCGAGGACAGAGCGATACGTCGGGTTTTCACCGGCGCAGGCTACGTTTCACAAGGATGGATGAGAAGCCGGTCATTATCCTTGCGTTTGCTGTGCCAGACCAGATATGCCATAGGTTGGTTGGGCATCCCCGCTGACCATGCTTCAAGTACCGCAAGAGACTTCGATCTTTGCGCGCTGGAAAAACAAACGCGCCACGCACAGCGAACATGTCGCTTCGCGTGTGATACATTTGGAGTAAAATTTGCTTACATTCTCCAGGTGGCTAGGTGGAAAGGTTCCAGATGGAGTACATTGTAGGTATGTTTGCTTCAGGGCGTTCCGACCTTTCATTGTTGAGCGGACATCAAAGGGTTATGAACTCACGGACCGAAGGACCCGAGCTCACAGGATATACCGCATAAACAGCCCTCATGCCCTTTACAGCGGTTTTACACAGCTCTATGCCACAAGAGCCAACCCTACATCGAACAATCCACCCTCAAATCTCACAGGCGGGGGAATCAACGGTCTCAGTTTCACAGGGAGACGGGGGGGATCTTTTCTTTTCGTCGAAATGCACATCTCCCCCGGGGGCACAGCAAAGTTTCGACAGCTTTTCAAACGTTTGGGGGGAGGGTAAACTCATGTAAACGTATGCTGTAGTCGTGAAACCATGAACCTCGCATCCCCGCGATGCCGGGACAGAGTGACATGCCGGGTTTCCTGTACTGTGGGAGCTGCAGCGCACCAATCCGAGAAATGAAAGCACCTCCGAGTAGCTAACACGCAGAGGAAACCACCCCGCCGAAGAAACTACGGGAAAGGGGGGTGCGTGGCCTTCAGGAGAGCAGAACCAGCTCCCACAAAGTACCATCAGAGAGAATGAGGCTTTTTCTCGAACCGGGATTGAACCCCAGCAGTCCGGCCGGTAGAGAGCACCTACATAAAACACTGCAAAAGCTCAACACCTCTCTGCGTGAACAACCCTGCCAGGTCACCCAGCAAAATGTGTGGGAGAGGAACCCGCCGTATGATCCGATACTCCTGTCCTGCGGCGGTGTTGTTGTTCCGTCAACTTCTACTCGTGCAAGTGTAGCAAAGCAAGATGTCGAATAGTACTGTTGTGAAGAAATGCGCTGTCCGTCTTCTTTCCAGCCTATTTTTTCATCATGCCCAAGTATAGACACCCTACCTCATCATGCAATCGAATGTCGACACAGAGACTCTCGATGCACTTGGACTCGCTCGCCTCACTACTTGGGCGAAAGTGTGGCGGCGTCAGCCGTCGGAAACCCCTCGAAGTACTGCTGTACGCAACATGCACGCCAGGAAAAAAATAGTCAAATGTTGAACGAACCAACCACCCACACACACCCATGACAACACAACACCGGTCGCCCCGGTGGTCTAGTGGGTAGCCTCGCAGCCTGCTAAGGGCCAGGTCATGGGTTCGAGTCCCGGCAGACAGAGCTTTTTTCTCACTACATAAATCCTGGTCTAGGATGAAAGCGACGCGCTGCAAAGCTCGTTTGTTGGTAAACCATAATCGACTTCGTAAGTCGCGAGGGAAGGAATTGCTGAACCCTTCTCGCGATAAAAATACCTCAGGCATGAACCGCACGATGGGGTCCAACCCCCCCCTCCTATGTGACCCCGGTTGGGTCGTCTAGCTAGTAGAAGTGGAGAATAGGGGCCAGAGGGGCAGACGACAGAGTCCAATGATGGGAGAAAAAACAAACAAACAAACAAACACAGCCCGAGCTCGAGCTCCTGCTATTCATTCGCCTCTTATTTGATCTGAGGGCTCGCTTCAATTTGGAAGCAAGACGGCAACATGTGTACGCACCTGAACGTAAACCCGAGGCGGCGGCTGGCTTCATCAGCAGGAGCTTTTCGTCCCGGAGCTGCTTCTCTTTCTCCCGGAGCTAGGCCTGTCCTCCATCGTCATACACCGTTTTGCTTGTATGACGGAGAATAAGAAGTTGGAATTACTTAAAATTAGTATAGAAATAAAGTTTGTGTATCTAAATCGAAAATAAAACGGCCGATGGAGGACAGGCCCCGGAGCTGCTTCTTTTCCTCCTGCAGCTGCTCCAGCTGCTTCAGGAGGAAGTTGCTGTCGCTGATGCCGAGATACGCACGTCCTCCAGAGAGAGCAGCCTTGACAGCCTCGATGTTCGGCTCCACGGCCTCGATCTTCGCCTCCACGGCCTCGATCTTCGTTTCCGTCGCCGCGATGGCAGCTGGCGGGTACGTCGCCGGCGAAATGCCGCCACTCCCGTCCCCATCGCCGTGCACTTTAACTTCGTTCGAGATCACCAAACCCGGCCCAAAACCTGACGAGGTACGCCAATACGACTCCCCACCAGGGACAGGACATCTGCGTGCATGGCGCCCCCCGGGTGGGCCACATCTGGAGGCCGAGGGTGTCACGTCCGTGACGATGCCGCCCCTCGGGACGAATGCCGCCCCGAACGTTGCGCAGCACAGCAGCGGCAGAGTCAAACGCATTGCCTCAACTTGCCTGAATATTTTCCTGCAGGGAACGAGTGGCGAGTGGAATCTGTCGCTCGGGTATGGTGTTGACTTGTCAGGGATGAGGAGGGCAACGATACGAGGAGGGCAACGATACTCGCGGAGTGCCCAAAGTGGCAACGGCGCCCGCGAGATCACAAGCGCCGAAAACACGCTTCCTATGGAAAAGCGGGGATTATGGAAACCCCTTCTAATTCCGCCGCAATCCCACAACCGACTTACCCTCCGACCACTGGCGTAAACGTGACAACAAGAGCAGCAGGGGTGGAGACTGAGAAATCCGAAGCAAGGTGTATAATGAAGCTCTTCGAGAGTAGCAGGGGCACGTTTCTGCGGCCCTCCCTACACCGTAGGAGTTGAGATCCAGTTGTTGCTCGGAGCGTACCACAAATTAAGGAGAAATAAATACACGTACAGAGAGACTACCCATTCGAGATATGAGATATACAGATATACCCACAGCAGTATTCGAACGGGATGTAGTGGAGTCTTTTCAGTAAGTCGAGGAAAACCGGCTGGGTACTGCACTTATTTCGAGTCTTTGTAAGTCTATACACTGACGATTTATCAGTGATCCCTGCTGATACCACAAATCAACAGCGGTTCCAAGTCAAGCACCCAATGGTACAAAAATAAGCTTGCCACCAGCACTTGGGTAGCGTGACCCATCCTACTGCCGACGGTTTGGCGTTGCCAGGATCGATGGTTATCTCTCACAGAAAGATGCATCCAATATATTTGTGCGCAACTTAGTACTCCGACTGTGAGCATATTCAATGTCAAAATTGTACTTCGGCAGCCGCAACCGCTGTCCGAGTCGAAACGCATGTCGCCAGCTGCCGTCGACCTCGTCCGAAGTAAAACAGCGCGCTTCAACCACTGGGGTATGGTAGGTACTCCATATGCACATGTATCGGGGTTCTATTGTAACAAGAGGTTCAATTGTAACAAGAATCAGTCTGATCGGGCATCAAAGAGTAAAGAAACAAGTATTCAGAGGTTGAAATATGAAATATCCTTCCCTTTTCTCTCATCTCGGAGGACCCTCCAGCGGGCTACGGTGGTTGTCGCTGACAGCAGTGGGAACGATGAAGTCAAGTATCTAAACCCGACCTGTTACGGGTAGCCAACTTCGTTTCAGACCTACCGTAAAAGTTTTCGTGCAGTTTGGAGGGCACACGAAGAAGCGAAACTGTAGGAAACCTCATCACCGCCGTAGTACTTACTACCGCACGAGGCTCGGTAGAGCCCGGATGAGACAGCTTGAGGCCTCCGCCCACCGCTGACGCCTGCTGCTTTAAATTTTTTTGACATGCTGTTGTAGCCGATACGCGTTATTCACCCGTTGTATGTCTTGCAGGCAATTCGAAGGAGAAACTCTGGAGGGTAAATTCATCATCGCTACACCGTAGGTGCGACTTGGTTCGGGGGCGGAGAAGAGCCCGCGCCTGCTTCCCTGCTCCCTCTACTACTGCTGTTCCTTCCACATTTGCGATTATTGACGCGTTGTTTCTTTCGATGTTTGGTCGTCTTCAGGGACAAAAGCTCGTGCATGTGCTCGTCATGGGCGCGTTGGACCTGCTACATGGTGAGTAGCAGGAGAGACAGCAAGGGACCTGCGATTCGTGCCGGAATCGCCCCCTTCAGATGAGGACCTGTCGGCAACATCTACACGACTTGCTGGCAGCGGCGGCCGAAGGCGGGATGCGCGCAGGACAGAGAGCGGTGATTGGAGGCCGTCCGGAAAAAATTATCCGCGCGGCTTCCAAAATTACGCGGTGTCTGCAGTCCAACCTCCGATCGGTGAGATAGAGAGGGCGGCGTGTTTTCCCATGTGGTCCGTTGCTTCCAGTGGCCCCACGAGTGGGCACTCTTTGCCCGTTGCTCGATCTGACGAATTCCTGGTCGCTCCCCCCACAGAATCACAGCCTGGGATGTGACCTCGTTTTGATCACATACAAGAAAGCAACGACGTCGAAGCCTTGTCCATCTCTACTCGTGTTTGTCCAGTTGTGTACCGGGATTGAAAGCAATTCGGATTCGAACGCCGCGTGTCGAGAATAGGTTTGCTATTTTTGAGTCTCGCTGTACACGTTACATGGAACTCATGCTCGACGTTTCTGTGTTGGAAAGGTCCGTACATGCCAGGGAGAAGCCAGTCCAAGTACCGTTACTCGTATGAGCATGCATCATCAGTTCAAATTTCATGTTTTGTGTGCCGGTTGGATGTACCCTGTCGTTGGACTATCCCTTTTTAGTGGTTTTGTTGTGGCGTTTTCTATACGTGGAGTTAGGGTTGTTCCCCTCTGAGGATCCTGTGGGTCGTCATGATATCCTTTTGTCCGCGCCATCTCTTTGGTCTTACAATTGTTTGATGTGGTTGCCAGGGTCTGCCAGGATATTCGGTGGTCGACATCTGACTGTTGGGTACCTGAAGGTCTTGCTTTTTTGCACTAACTTATGGTCTCGACAGTGCAGAAGTACATCTAATTCCCTCTGCTACCAGCTTGCAGTGTTGTCAAATTCAATCCCACTAGCTGCGAAGACACAGGCTCTCTACACATGATGAAGGTGTATCCATCATCCACTTATTATCCAAACTGGCGTCCACTCTTGATGCCGTAGATCTAGAAAGGACAGAATTTAGGGGTGATTTGTCGAACAGGATACTACTGTAGAGCAGCATGGCGGTGCATCTCTTTTGCTGTTTCGGTACGATGAAACTTGGAAGTCATCAACGGAACAATCCCGTGCTTGCGGTGGTATCCCCGTCAGGTGTAACGCCCCCGCCGATATCGACTAACGCAACGCTGTGCACGGTCGAGTGCTCCCAGGCCTACCCCCGCAGCGGGA